GGGACATGGAATGTCCTCACCATGCATGAGTCTAGCAAGGCTACCCAGATGGCAAAAGAGATGAGGTATGCATGGCATAGAAGTGCTAGGAATCTGTGAAGAATCTTCAGATGGAGTGGAAGTGGAATCTCCAAACTGTCAACTGAAGAGTCAATAATGTACTTCGATATTGTCACCCACACGACAACCACGAGCACTGAGTTTTGGAGTTGCTATCATGATTTCCCCAACAGCATCGAAGGCTGTCCTTCATGCAGTGAGAACCAATCGCCTCCTGCAGGATCGTGATCATGACAGCAAGATTCAACTCGAAAGGAAGGAAAGTCACAATCATACAATGTTACGCTACACTAAGCACCTACAAATAACGCAGATGAAGAGAAGAAGGAGGAATTCTACTGAAAATTACAATCAACACTGGACAAGACCCCACTCCAGTTGGCGACATCAAAATTCTAATGGGTGAGGTGACATGAATACCAGCCAAACTGGCAGCGGACAGCACAGGAAGAGAACTAACCATGGGTGGAGAAGCGCTCAGTGAAACGATGAATGAGAATGGAGAACTGTTTGCAGACTTCTGCACATTCAACGATTTACTGATTGGAGGCAGTGTGTACAAACACAAGGATATTCGTAAGGCAGCGACATGGATTTCACCAGAACACACTAAAAATCGACTTCATTTCAATGTAAAGAAAGTGAAGACGCAGCCTACTAGACGTAAGATGAAGAAGGGGGAGCAGATGTGTTGGTTCATACCAATCACCATCTAGTCCAAGGAACCAACCTTCAAAATCAAGTTGAAAGCCTTAAAAGAAGTTGGTGATAGACGGTGACAGTTGAAGTTGAACAACAAAGGATATCTTCGTGTGTCAATCCTTTCATTATGTCATCAATGGACTATCCATCATATTTCTTATATCATTTTATGAATTTATAGCCTGTATGCAGTTGAAGAGAAGGCGATGAAACAACACAATGAATTCATTGTATTCTAACTTAGCTAACATTTCTTCTCAAAGGAACCAATTGTATGCAGTTTCCCAACTGTCCAGCTATACTGTCAACAGGGTTTCTGTTAGAAATCATCCAGCCAATATCATAAAGCATGATCAGAGATTATAGAAGTATACTACTGAAAAAATATGCGTAGTTAAAAGAAACCAGTCAGTCTCATTGGTCCGTATTTCTCGTAAGCCATATGAGAATGATGTAAACAGCGGATAACAGTTTCACTCTTTCGTAGTCAACCTCATCAACAGTCTACTTGAACAAATTCAACTCACATAGTCAAATAGTTTAGACTACCTGAATCTAGTTAGCTGACTTACATACGGATCAGTATACTTAAAATAGGATGATCAACTTGTACAATTCATGTTGACATTTTCACAGTTGACTAGTTTTACAATTGTCAGTCAACAGAATTTCCATCGGAAACCATCATTCATTAGCCAACATTAAAAAGTGTGATCTCTGACTCAAAAGTGTCACTACTCATTATTAGTAAGATGTAAAATAGGCTGAAAACAACAACTGATAGTCCAATTATTCATTTTGTGAATTGACATATCTGAAGTTATCTTAAACAACGCCTGGGACAACAGCGGACATGCTCACACCACTATTACAGAAGGTCTGGAAGGAAGGGAAGGTACCTGCAGATTGATTGGAAGAAGGGTCACCTTGTCAAACTGCCGAAGAAAGGAGACCTCAGTGTTTGCAACAACTGGCGCGGAATCACTCTCCTGTCCACCCACAGCAAGCAAAATATTAAGCCGCATCATCTTAGAGAGACTAAAGGATGCGCTGGATTCAAAACTACGACCGAAACAGGCAGGCTGGACTCAGGAAGTACAAATCATGTGCTGACCAAATTGCAACGCTACGGTACGCATCATCCTAGAACAGAGTATAGAATGGTAGTCGACTCTCTACCTCGACTTTATCGACTTTGAGAAGGCCTTCAACAGCGTCGACCGAGAGGTAATTTGGAAACTGCTTCATTACTACGGAGTACCGCAAACCTTTATCAGCCTCATTCAACAACTATATGAAGACACCACATGCCAAGTAATTCACAATGGGAAGCTCAGTGATGCCTTTGAAGACAGGAGTAAAACGAGGTTGTCCACTATCCCCCATCATATTCCTGATTGTGTTGTGGTCGACTGGATCATGCAGAAAACAACAGTGGGGAGCGAGAAGAAGGGATACGCTGGCTGGACAGAGGAAAAGAACCTAGAAGACTTGGATTTCGCCAACGATGACTTGTGCCTGATGTCACACAAACTTGAAGGTGTATAGGCGAAAACTAACAAGTTGGTAGAAGAGGTGAGGCAGCGAAGGAATATGGGACTTCAGGTGAATATAGAGAAGACAGAAGTGATGAAGATACCCATCAAACACCACCACCACCACCACCAAGCTTCAATCACCATCAATGGGAGAAACTTGAAGGAAGTAGTCTCTTTCACCCACCTTCCTAGGCAGCACTGTTTCAATACAGGGACAGCACAGACGAGGATGTCAATGCAACCAGGATGGAAAGACAGCAAGACAGGCGTTCAGTAGCCTGAAACCAGTGTGGAGATCTTCTGCACTGCACTCAGCATAAAGTGTGAACAATATCTGGATTTTCAACACCAACGTCAGTCAAGTCAGTGCTTCGATATGGTTCAGAGACTTGGCGCGTTACGAAAGGTATTTCCAACAAATTACAGACATTCATCAACAACTGCCACCTATGCTGGCTCGTTACTGAAGATCAGATGACCAGAATAATAAGAATACGCAACAAGGAACTCATTCTGACAATGAACCAAACAAGAACCTATTGCTGAACAAATATGCAGTGGAAGGAAGTGGAGATGGATTGGGCATACACTGAGAAGACCATACGGGGACATCATGCGCCAGGCCATCGAGTGGAACTCGGATGGGGATCGGCGAGTTGGGCGTCCGAGGTAAGGGTGACATGGAGATGGTGTGAAGAAGAAATGAGAGCTTGTGTGCAGTGGTGGAGCGAGCTTGAAAAGATTGGAGAGAAGAGAGTGCAATGGAGACGTGCTACTGAAGCCCGATGTTCCATTAGGAACCCAGGGGACAAATAATAATAATAAGTTACCTTAACAATAATTATTATTGGCATCAAGAAATGCACCACACAGAATAATATACCAACATTATGAAGACATAAAAAAAAAGAGATAGACAGAAGGAAGCTACAGCATGACCGCTATTGGTTTCGATTTCAAGCCATATCTGATAGCGTCTCAAGCTACGGAGTTGCATGGTCTATCCGACAGATACTAACCCGATATGACTATCCTTCATCTCACAGCGCAAAGTAATACACTTATCACCCTCCTTCACTTTCATACAGTCCAAGTCGCCAAAGCCAGTGTTACCAGATGACTTAACTTATTGAATGACGGTTTCCATCATGCCTATTTACACGCTGTCGTACCACAGAATTATTCACATGGCGTTGCCATCAGGAGAAAACGATGATTGAACACGCAGGGTCGTCGCACATCTTCAACTCGGAGAGGCCAGGCGTAGGAGCAGAACTAATTGCGACGAAGTGTTATTAACCCGACCTTTTATGGTCAGACTAATGTCACGACAACGCCAAAAGAGGCTCAGATTGACGTACATCACTTTGGCTTTGATATGCAGTTGAAAATTTCATCACTCACACAACTATTCAGATACAAAACGGCTTCGACTACTTCAAAAGACTTACCATCGAGGATAAGGGTAGGCACAGGCTCTTCCTAATTTTGGAAAAGTACTTCGCACTCCGACGGTGCAAAGCACATCATCCTCAATATCAACATAGGACCAGACATTACTGCACAACGGTCCGAGTTACTATAGCTCATAAAACTACATCAAGCAGAAACGCAGTGAAAGTGGAAAATAAAGAAATTCAGTCAGAAGAAATATAAAGAACGAGAAGAAAGAAAGGAAGAATGAGAAAATGGTGAGATTCAGTATAGCGTCGTTAAGATGAGGATAATGTTTGTATACATTTGCAACACTGACATCGATTCTCAGCCATGTGATCACCTAGACTCTCCAACTACTGGTTCCTCTTGTCCCGCAGACCTCAACCACCCAGTCTCCATCGACCCTCCTCCTACATGGTTTAAACCAACACTCACAGACTTCATTCATTCATTCCATGTTTTAGTCGGGCCACCTCGAGCCCTTTTCCAACCTCAACCTACTTCAACCAACATTGTGTGATGAGGCAACCGATGACTAGGCATACGTAACACATTGGAGCCAACCATCTTAATCAATGAAAGTTCACAACCATGTCAACTGACTTGCCTCTTCTCCCTAAAACTCTACACCTGAGCCGGACTTCTACTTTACTCACATGGTGACACCACGGAATACGGTCTATACTACGAAGGCAACAGTGGTCAAACACCTGAAGCCAGCCAGCCAGCCAACCCTCTCATGACTTCCACCTTTAATGAGCATGTTTCACAGCCATAGAGTAGAATGGAGCGGACTGGTGTGCAGTACACGTTACCCTTAATAGATAATCGGTGGCGCCACAGGTGGCGTAAGTTGGCGAAAGCCAGTGGAGCCTTTTGTATTAGTGCAGAGATCTCATCCGTCACAGGGCCAGCTGCCAGGGTTGATCGTACTTCCCAGGTAGCAAAGCATATACCATAATACAATTCATATCATGAATAAGTATAAATTAATGAATTCTAAGTAGAAATTGAAAAATCTTTGTTGCAATATAGGGAACATTTATTAATCATCTTGGTCTTGTAGCCGGATTCTACACCAACTACGGTCTAATATATCGAATAGTCCAATCAATATTGAATTGCTTGATCAAACATCCAGTGTATAATGAACATACGAAATAATAAGTGAATGGATAACCACTTTTCAACAGGAGACGAATATATATATATATATATATATATATATATATATATATAACACAAGAAAAGGGGGTAACTTACACCATAAAGATTGAAATCACGTGAAAATGTTTGATAATTTAAACCAAATTTCAATAAAACACATAAATACACTTGATTAGCTTTAACTGATACACTTTCAGGCCAAATATTCTTTGCATAAATATTCAATGTCACATAACCACCTGATTGATACCAATCGAAACGACAATTCACCTCTGACTGAACTGATGATAATGCTAAATTAGTCGACTTTGCATCCTGTAAAAGAAAAAGAAAAAAAACAAACAAGGGAATAGTACGATTAGATAGTCGACTTTCAACTGATGAATCATGGTTCGAACCCGTTCCATCGACTGAGGTTACGGAGACCGAGTAGTAGTGTAGGAAAAGAGAAGACTGAGAGGTAGGAAGGAATGTTTATCATTGACATCTTGTACAGTACCCATCAACAAGAGAAATCCAAAGGAAGTTGTCGCTTTCACCTACCTGTTTAAGCAGCATCGGATGAGGATGTCAAAGCAGCCAGGATCGGAAACACAGCAAGACAGGCCTTCCTGCATTAATCTGAAATAATCAGTGTGGAGATCTACTGCACTGCACTGCACTCAGCATACAACATGAACAACATCTCCATTTTCAACAGTAATCTCAGTCAAGTCAGTCAGTGCTTCTATGTGATGGTTCACAGGACTTGGCGCCTAACGAAAAGCACTTCCAACGACTGCCACCTAGGCTCACTCCATACTGAAGATGGAGATCAGATGGCGAGAATAATAAGAATAAGCAAGAAGGAACTCACTCTGGCTGGCTGGCTGTCTGGCAACAAACCAACCAACAACCTATCCCCCTACAAACATGGAGAAGAAAATGGAGGTGGATTTGACATACACTGAGAAGACGGTTTGGGGACATGGCGCATCAGGTCAGGCCGTCGAGTGGAACCCAAATGGGAAACGATGAGTTAGGCGTTTCAGCTAAGAGTGACATGGAGGAGATATTGTGAGGAAAGAATGAAAGTTTATGGGCAGTCGTGGAGTCAGGTTGAAAAGACTGAAGAGAAGAGAGTGGAATGGAGACGTGCTACTGAAGCCGTATGTTCCACTAGGAACCCAAAGGACAGATAACAATAATAATAAGAAAAACGTCCACATTGTCTCTTGCGTTTTTCTTGGCGGAATCTACACCCACTACTGGTAATTGCCTGTGATTTCTGCCGCCCTCTCAACATATACTACTTATATCCATTCTGATCAGCAGCATCCAGTAGAGTATAACTCACCCTCACACAATAGGTGTATGGCTCATTACCTACTGCACGATTATGCACATGGTAGCTGAGATGAGTGAGATGAGATTTACTTGGTACAGATTTAACATGATCTGTTAATAATGCACTACCGGAGTCAGCATTTCTAGTATACATTCACAATAAGTTATTCTTCATCTGAGGTCTTCAAGTTGGCATCCGGTTTAATTTTGACTGGTTGACTTCACAGGTCAGTGTCTCATTCGAACTTCGAGATACTCCATCTCGCAGTATGTCATCAATGAGAACTACTAGATGGTAATTCATTGATGCCAGTTAGGGGACCGTTGAGAATATGGGAGTATTGGATAGCTATTTCGTTCTAGTATAGGTCTCCTTAGCAGTGCATACCCATGACCTCATCAGGTCTCAGTGAGAGGGGACTAATCATCTAGCTACTGGGTCGGAGTTCAATGATTCACAGTTTTCTATCTCAGTCAATTAACGATATAGCGTGACATCCATCCAATGCCATCATTAAGAAACTGTTCTGCCGTCCAACATGGTCCACCCTACTGGGAGCACTGAATTATTCCTCAAAATGTTAAAAAATAACCTTACTACTACTACTACTACTACTACTACTACTACTACTACTACTACTACTACTGACTATCACTTTCAAGGACTATTCACCTTAGAAGTTGTTATTAAATGAAAAACAACCGCCAGATGACAGACTCGTTGCCTCATTATAAAACATTTCCATGTACCTACCTAAAGCACTCAAACTCCACCGAACACACACACACACACATCTACTTGATGACCAGTTCATACTGCAGTTAAGCCAAGTAGTCTACAGATGTATATGTTCATCACAAAATCTTTTAAGTCAGCATGATACATACTACAAGGCTGTTTATTTATTCAGGTAAGAGAATAGTGACAATAAGATGATAAATCATAAAGAGGAAAGTAAAAAGAAGCTTACTTCAACAGTCCAGTTATGACGACCAGTAGTACATCCAATCTGTTTGACAAATGTTTCAAATTCACTAGTTTTCTGATTACAACAACTCCAATATTTCATTCTGAAGTCAGAGAAGAAGAAAATAATAATGATGTTAACTCCTTTCTTACGCTTATGTTCCGTTCATATCCCGTTTTTATGTCTTTAATTTTATACTACTTAATATTTTTGAGTAGTATAATTCCTGTTTCCTAAAAACGTTGCTCCACCTCGAGTTGTATCTTAACCATATAAAAGCGGGGAGCGAGAAGAGGGGGATACGCTGACTGGATCGGGGAAAAGAACCTAGAAGACTTGGATTTCGCCAACGATGACTTGTGCCTGATGTCACATAAACTTGAAGATCTACAGGCAAAAACTAACAAGTTAACAGAAGAGGCAGCGAAGACGGGACTTCAAGTGAATATAGAGAAGACAGAGGTGATGTAGATACCGCACCACCACCACCAACAACAACAAACTCCAGTCACCATCAACGGGAGAAACTTAAAGGAAGTAACCTCCTTCATCTGTCTTGGAAGCACTGTCTCAACTACAGGCGGCACAGACGAGGATGTCAAAGTCAGAGTCGGAAAAGCAAGACAGGCGTTCATTAGCCTGAAACCAGTGTGGACATCTTCTGCACTTCACTCAGCATAAAGCGTGAACAACATCCGGATTTTCACCACCAACTTCAGTCAAGTCAGTGCTTCTGTATGGTTCAAAGACTTGGCGCGTCACGAAAGGGATTTCCAATAAACTACAGACATTCATCAACAACTGCCAACTACGCTGGCTCGTTACTCAAGATCAGATGGATTGCCAGAAATAATAAGAATAAGCAACAAGGAGCTCTGGCTGGTGACGAACCAACCAAGAACCTATCGGTCAACAAATATGCAGTGGAAGGAAGTGGAGATGGATTGGGCATACACTGAGAAGGCCGACTGAGGACATCACGCGTCAGGCCAAGCACTCGAGTGGAATCCCCATGGGAAGCGACGAGTTGGGTGTCCCAGCTGAGGGTGACATGGAGGAGATAGTGCGAGGAAGAAATGAGAGCTTGTGGGCTGTCGTGGGACCAGGTTCAAAAGATCTCAGAGAACAGAGTGGAATGGAGACGTGCTACTGAAGCCCTATGTTCCATGAGGAACCCAAGGGACTTAAAATAATAATAATAATAATAACCATTTAACACCCGTAGATAATGATAGCTTTTATAGTTCATGATGGTGTTGTAATTTATTTCATCGTCCCCTGACGTTCTATTGTAGCATCTTAATGTCATCGTGAGAACTTACGTGCGTCTTTTATATTTCCTTTTGGTCTCTTGGATGCAGTGTTGCTGATTTTACTGCTGACGTACACTTTGTTAAGTGCTTTGATAGAGATGAACCCGTTGATACCTCATGACTCGAGGTTTCTATTTTACTACTCAATATTGCTTATTAATACACGACCGTATCTAAGAGAAATCCTCTGTTCTGGATTTTACACCTACCTCGAACGTTTGTTTATTGTTAAAAAGGTGCTAATTTGATTTCGTTCCGAATTTCTTAGAAAGAAATTCACAAATAATAACAATCAATCAATCAATATCAACATAGGACCAGACATCACTGCACAACGGTCCAACTTACCACACCTCATATCAGTACATCAAGCAGAAAGGTAGTGAGGTGAAACATGAAGATAAGAGAATGCAGCCAACAGAAATATAAAGTACTCAAAGAGAGAAAGGAAGAATGAGAAAATGGTGAGATTCAGTATAGCGTCGTTAAGATGAGGATAATGTGTGTATACATCTGCAACACTCACATCGGTTCTCAGACATGTGATCACCTAGACTCTCCAACTACTGGTTCCTCTTGTCCCGCGAACCCCAACCACCCAGTCTCCATCGACCCTCCTCCTACATGGTTTAAACCAACACTCACAGACTTCATTCATTCATTCCATGTTTTAGTCGGGCCACCTCGAGCCCTTTTCCAACCTCAACCTACTTCAACCAACATTGTGTGATGAGGCAACCGATGACTAGGCATACGTAACACATTGGAGCCAACATCTCAGTCGATGAGGGTTCACAACCATGTCAACTGACTTGCCTCTTCTTTCTAAAACTCTACATCTGAACCGGACTTCTACGTTACTCACATGGTGACACCACGGAATACGGTCTATACTACGAAGGCAACAGTGGTCAAACACTTGAAGCCAGCCAGCCAGCCAACCCTCTCATGACTTCCACCTTTAATGGGCATGTTTCACAGCCATAGAGTAGAACGGGTCGGACTGGTGTGCAGTACACGTTACCCTTAATAGATAATCGGTGGCGCCACAGGTGGCGTAAGTTGTTGAAAGCCAGTGGAGCCTTTTGTATTCGTGCAGAGATTTCACTGGCCAATGAGCCATCAGGGCTGATCCTACTTCCTAGGTAAGTGAAGTGGTCGACACAATCAAACACTACACTCTCCATTGTTAGCCGCAGTGGGGCACCATTCAAGACCAGACGTGGAGCAATAATTTGCATTTCGGTGGTGAGAAACACATCCCAAGTATTCTCAAAATGCCACTCAAAGTGTCCAAAACACTCTGCATTTTGTCAGCGTCTTCACCTAATAGGACTATATCATCTACGGATTCTAGGTGTAACGAAAATTCTCCACTGATAAGGTCAACCTCTGTGTAGTGAGGTGACTAGAAGGAGACCTCCATAAGAATATCTATGATAAAATTGAATAAGAATGGAGAGTGAGCAGTCTTGACGGGCACCACATGACGAGTACAGCTCGTCGGGTATCTCACTATAGGCTGTAACACGCCCACAAGTGTTTCAGTAGAGAGTCTTGCCTTCAATAAGGTGATGTACTTACTCGTCATGCCTCCCAGTGAGAGACATTGCCATAAGACTTCTCGATCAACGGAGTGGAATGCTGCCGCTTCCAGGTTGAGAAATATAGCTATTTTTTGATGTCAGCAAGTGTGTGTGTGTGTTCCAGGAGGTGGTGTAGTGTGAATATTTGGTCGACGTACCCACGACTGGGTCTAAAGCCTGACTGGTTTTCTCAGGCTTGCCTTTTTCTGAGCTGCACTCAGGAGTTGAAGAATTATAGAACCTAGAATTTTGGATACTATATTCGTCAAGGAGAACACGTACTATTTGTATCCAGTCCAAGTATTGCATCGTTTTATCATTACTATTATTGAGTCGACTACACCTACTGGTGACTATCTCATTAGGGTTAGTAGCGTTCTTGTATTATTTGGTCACTTTACTTCGAATTCGTTGGCAGTAAATTATCCCCTGGAAAAGTAGAGTAAACCAGAGGAGTACAGGTAAACTAATGCATTCATTTTCCCACTTCAGAGTGTATAACAAGAATAATAATTTCTTTTCTAAGAGATATTTATCTCTTGTCTACTCACTCACTGATATCATGAATTTGAACACTGAGTGTAGTATGTAGTGCGATCAAAATATGATCAGATCAATTTTTTCCCTCTGCAGATTATATTTTACCTTTCTTGTGTACTTTCTTTCTGCGAAAGTTATTGGTTTTGTTTCACAGTTTGCATATGTACTACAATATTGTGTCAAACTTAGGAAGAGTTATCTTATAGGATTTACAGCTCAGGCTTCTGATACGAAGTCTGATCCATAAAGCAACGGGAGCAATGAAGTGTTGTATTTTCATGGTTGCCAGTGACCAAGGTAGGTTCATACGCCACTGAGCCATTCTGGATGATGGGGCCTATGTGTATCAATATGGCCAATGAAATCTCTGCACGAATACAAAAGGCTCCACTGGCTTTAGCCAACTTACGCCACTTATGGCGCCACCGTAATATCCGATTATCTATTAAGGGTAACGTGTACTGCACACCAGTCCGCTCCATTCTACTCTATGGCTGTGAAACATGCCCATTAAAGGTGGAAGTCATGAGAGGGTTGGCTGGCTGGCTGGCTTCAAGTGTTTGACCACTGTTGCCTTCGTAGTATAGACCGTATTCCGTGGTGTCACCATGTGAGTAAAGTAGAAGTCCGGCTCAGGTGTAGAGTTTTAGGGAGAAGAGGCAAGTCAGTTGACATGCTTGTGAACTTTCATCGACTGAGATGGTTGGGACACGTACTACGTATGCCTAGTCATCGGTTGCCTCATCACACAATGTTGGTTGAAGTAGGTTGAGGTTGGAAAAGGGCTCGAGGTGGCCCGACTAAAACATGGAATCAATGTATGAGGTCTTTGACTGTTGATTTAAGCCATGTAGGAGGGCAATACAGACTGGGTGGGACAAGAGGAACCAGTAGTTGGAGATTCTAGGTGATCACGTGTCTGAGAACCGATGTGAGTGTTGCAGATGTATACACACATTATCCTCATCTTAACGACGCTATACTCAATCTCACCATTTTCTCATTCTTCCTTTCTCTCTTTGAGTACTTTTTATCTCTTTTGACTGAATTTCCTTGTTGTTGTGCAGTGATGTCTGGTCCTATGTTGATATTGATGATGATGTGCATCAATAACTTGGGACCGGGCTTTCTCGACTCCGCCCAATGAACTCTTTATATCCGTCAACCTGTTTATATGGACTGAATATTCTCTTTCGCCTTCCCATGATTTTAAAAAGGCGACCCACTGAGTTCACCTTTCCTAGTATAGGCTACGAACGTGTGGTCGTATACGGGGATTTTGAAAGGTTTACTAGGCTCATCTTACATTCGGTCATCCTGACCGACAGCTGCTATCACGTATGACCTAACGAGCTACAGTGGCTAGGACACTTGTCCTCTCAACATCCTACCATACCGAAAAGGTCAGTTTGGTAGTGGTAAGACAAAATGCAGTTACTGTTGTTGTGTAAGTGGCAACGCTATAACAGAAGGCTTAGAGTGAAGTTGTACCAATGGATAGTTGGGTATGTGACAGCAGTAAGGTGTTCTCCATGGATGATTAGTAGTGCCACATTGATGCTGTCTTCTCCTACGGGAAGGAAGTTAGGAGAAGCCGGTGCTAAAAATAACGCACTCTTTCTTACCAAGTTGCCTACTAATGCCAGCTGTATGGGTTCATAGTTGGAGTGAAAACACTTAAATGTCAAACTTTCAAGAAGGTCATGCGTGATCGACCTCAAGCCAACGTCCCTTCGGCTTTACTAATCCAAATTTCTTTTTCAGGTACCTCAAGAAGACATAGCTTTCCACGGTGTGGGCAACCGGGAAGTATTAACCATTCTCACAACTTTATCAGCGCTTAAGTTCTCTCAGACATTCAGTTATATAACGGTGATCGGTAGGCGAAAATAGCCATCACTCCTGACAGGTGTTATGATTGCTTGTTGGAATGATACAGGAATCAGATAGACTCTTTTCGCGTTCACTTCACTTGTGAAAACCATCAATCTAAGTTTACTTTCCCTAAAATTGTGGAAATACAACAACTAGACATAAACGCTCAGAATGGAAACATTCTTTACAGAATTCAATTATTGTCTTGAAACAAGGCTATGCTCCATTGGTCTAGTCACTCAATTTCCAACCAGCAGGTCACTAGTTCGAGGCCAGTACCACCAATTGAGGTACTCGTGGTTCCTCAATGTCTTTCGACTTACCACGCCTAAAGTACGCAACTCCTATTATGAAACTTAAATTGTCATAACTGCTAATAGTAAAAACTGTAAAAAACAACGTAAAACCTCGTACACAGGTGAATCACCTTAAGTTGTCACACTCCATAGTAGTACACAAAGAACAGGTGAATAGAATAAGAGTGATATCAAAACAGACAAAGTTGTGTGACAGACAACAAACAATCTGGAGATAAAGGTCAGTGCAAATATTCAAGCTTTAGATGTCAAAGAGTGAATAAATCGGTGCCATTGTGACCGATTTTCAGTCATATTACCAAGAGTCCTCAATCACTCATTCCTTTTGTCTCGGAGACCTACATCGCCCCACACGGCCCAGACCTACAGTCGGAGACTTTATCAATTGGTGCCATATCTTGGTCTGGTCACACTGAACACTTAACCTAATTCAACTTTCACTAGTATGGAACATCGAGATAGGTAGTGGCTCGGTATGCGCAGTACATATGACTCGACTAAGGTTCATAACTTCGTCAATCAGTGTGCCTGTTTTGCCTAGTGTCTTTTAACTGACTTCAACACTGCTCACACGGTGATTCCGCTCCATGCAAGTAATTCTATGGAGACACCTGTGATCAAAACTCTGCAACTACTTCACTTCTTCGAGTTTCAACAGCGATGTCTCACAGCTGTACAACTGCAGCACACTACGCTGCTTCTTTCATAGATAGCCGGATATCTCACCGACGCCACAGGTGGAGTAAGCTGGCAAATGCTAGACCGGCTCTTCTGTATCCGAGTTGAGATTTCACCAGCAACAAAAGCGTTCGGGTTGATGTAACTCCCATACCAACGAATCGATAACGGTGATCATTTGTTGAAATTTCGCTCGGACAATCACATGTTTTTGGCTAGCACTAACTTTAAGCATAAGGACAAACACTATCTCACATAGTGTCCACCAACTTCAAACCAACGATGGACACAGATAGATTACATTACTATAAGCAACTGTTAGAGAGGATCGGTGAAAGATTGGCATTCTTTCTGGGGTACCACTTTAGACTATGATCACACGCTAGTACGGGCTCGTGTATGTCTGCGCCTTACTGGCTGCAGAGAAACAAGCGGCAGTGAAGCCTGTCTATGGTCGATTGGAGGACGAAAACGTCTAGTCTGGATTCAAGGAATAGGCAGCCAAGCATTTATCTAAACATGATAACAATGCTCCTCCCGTGGAAACCAGATGTAAAACAGCGGTAAAGACAGTTGATAGCCTATACGCAAAGGTTAACAAACGTCACTAGATTTCCGCGATGTCATCTAAACTGACTGATACGAGGAGACTGGTCCCAGCTGGCTTTGACCCCAACAAGGAGTGAAAGCAACTTAAACATAAGTTGACTAAGAGTCTTCATGTTGATCGCCAGCAGTGGTGGATAGTGACAGCGAACGAAAGAGGTGGAGAAGGCACTAGTATTGGGTAGTAATCGGCAACTGTCTAGGCTTGTAAAGGATACCGGTAAGAAAAAGACGACAGTAAAAACAATGATACCGAGAGAATATCCAACCATCGCTTAAAGATGTTATAGTAGTTCAAATATCTTTCAACTTTTTAAAAGATGAGCATAAAATCTACAGGATAAATGACAAGTTAATCGTCGTTTTGTTGTTCTCTGTTTGGATTCAGTCGTCAATAGCTTATATTTTCAAACAAACAGAATCGGTGTAAACAAAGTACATTTATACACGTTTTCAAATTGTATCTATTTGGAAATACTTCTCATTTTTTCCCCATAAAAACAAAGTTAAAGGTTAAGTGAACGTACCCTTCATGGAATACAGCTACACCCGGATGATATAAACACAATTCACAATCGGATTCAGTTCCTGTATAGATCTGAGAAGAAGAAAAAGATAAATCTATTTAATAGAAGATACCAGAAAGGATATGGTTACGTAATCCCACTCTCATCCAGCCAGCAGTAACCATTTCACTCTCAGACTACCGCGTCATAGTGTAACTATTTACATCCTAATAGTAACTTCACTTTGTCTTACCATTATGCAACAGATTTTTCTGGCATAGTAGGACCTCGAGAGAACACGTGTCCCGACAGCGTACCTCTTTTAGTCATTGTGATATGCATCACTTCAAGGCAGTAGGTCAACTCAACTCTCTCATCTGACAAAATACTACAGTTTACCTGGTGAATATGAAATTAATTTATATGGGATAGGGGGTTCGGGGGACATGGAGGCTAATTTGGCGAACAATCTTGCAAGTAATTGGTTTATGCTTGTTGGAAATCATTATTAGTTGGATGTGAATGTGTAACTCTAACTTAATTACGGCCAACGATCACTGACACATAGATACCACATCTGATAAACAATGAATGATCTTAACAACATACAATTTTACTATTTATTTATTTGTCCCTTAGGTTCCTAGTGGAACACACGGCTCCAGTAGGACACCGCCATTTCACTGTCTTCTCTTAAGTCCTCTTACACCTGGCTCCACAACTGTCCACAAGCTTTCATTTCTTACTCACACCATCTCCTCCATGTCACCCTCACACGGTCAACTCGTCGATTCCCATTCGGCCTCCATTCGGAGGCATGGCCTGACGCGTGAGGTCCCCTCGTGTACGTGCAATCCAATCCAATCCATCTTCATCTTCTTCTTCTGCATGTTTGTTGGGAGACGAGGGTTCTTGGTTGGTTCCTTGACAAACAGCCAGCCAGCCAAAGTTCCTTGTTGCTTATTCTTATTATTCTCGCCATCTGATCTCCAACTTCAGTATCGAGTGAGCGTAGGCGACAGCAGTTGATAACGTATGTCTGTAGTTTGTTGGAAATGCTTTTCGTGACGCGCCAAGTCCTGTGAACCATCACATAGAAGCACTGACTGACTTGGCTGAATTAATGTTGAAAATCCAGATATTATTCACATTTTATGCTGAGTGTAGTAGATTTCCTCACTGATTATTTCAGATTAATGCAGGAAGGCCTGTCTTCGTATCTTCCCGATCCTGGCTTTGACACCCTTATCTGTGCAGCCACCTGTAGTTGAAACGGCTGTTACCTAGGGGAAAAGAGACAACTTCCTTCAGATTTCTCTCGTAGATGTTGATTGGTGCTAGTTGTTTTTGTTGGTTAGGTATCTTCATCACTTCTGTCTTCTCTACGTCCAGCTGAAGTCCCGTCTTCGCTGCCACGCCTCTTTTGTCAACTTGTTATTTTTCGCCAGTAGATCTTCGAGTTTGTGCGACATCAGATCTAAGTCATCGGCAAAATCCAAATCTTCTAGAATCTTTTCATCCATCCAAACAACATGCAATAGGTGAAAGGAAAACTTAGTTAATGTCAATTAGGAAATGATGTAATCAACAAGCGCATTTCTCTCATGTGTGAGATGGCTGACCGTCTGAAATCAACCTGTTTCTCTGTAGCTGCTGCTATGCTGTCGGGACACAAAAAGTCTACCTAATCTCTTGTTAAGAATGAACTTAATTATGTAGATTGAAGTCTACCATTTTTGTGTTTTCGTTTATTTGTCCAGATCGTTTTCTTATTGTTGCCTACTATCATTACTTTCAATGTTGATATCCTACCATTTACACAAAATTACAGCCCTTTCAACGTGAAGGCTGATCAGCGCGGATTACGTACACATATCTTGAAAGTCCTATGTACTAACACCTCAGGTGAAGTGAGGGCTTCTTTCAAACCAGCAGTGGGGTTAGGCAGGGCCGCTCGACTCCCCCCTTTCTCTTCACCTTTGGCATCGATGATATTCATGACACAGCTCTGAAAAAAGTGCACGATGGTGATGTAGATCTACTACCTGGAGAACGGCTACTCGACGTTGACTATACGGACGACATCGTCTTACTGTGCAATAATCACTTGACGGTTAGTGTTCATAAGTATAAGATATGCTTTGCACCATCGAAGTGCGGAGTACTTTTGAAAGATTGGCAGAAGCCTGTGCCTTCGCTCACCCCCGGAGATGAGCCGTCGGAAAGCTCGCACACCTGGATAGTTGTGTGAAAGATGAAATTTCTAACCACATATCGAAAGCCAAAGTGGCATACATCAGTCTGAACCACCTTTAGAGTCATCGTGACATTAATCTGACCATAAAAGATCGGGTTTACAACACTTCGGTGTGAACAGTTCTGTATTACGCTTGGCCTCTCCAAGTTGAGGATGTGTTCAATCATCGTTTCCTTCTTAGGATTTCTCGTATCCAGTGGCAATACCATGAAAGTAATTCTGGTGTACGACATGTGTTTGGGCATGATGGAGATGCTCATTCAATAAGTGAATTCATCTGGAAACACTGGCTTCAGCGGCTTGAACTGTATGAAAGAAAGTGGAGGTGTGGTCAGTGTATGACATGGCGCCATAAGATGAAGGACAGTTGTATCGGGTTAGCATTTGTTACAGTCGGAGAGGAGATCACCCAATTCACTGGCTTGAGACGTTATCAGACATGGCTGAGAATCTAAACCAGTGGCGATCTGGCTGTATTATCTAAACTAATAGAATGAATTGAAATAGCCTTCAACAGAAGGATAACCAATATTTCAATAGACATTGTATAGTCTGTAAAAATCAGTTTGTTTCAATAACAATCCAGTTATCAGTATTAGACTGAAATGTCCTAGTTTTCATCATGTATGTAGTTGACAGTAAGAATTACTGAAAAGTTGTATACACCTTGAAGTTCAACGAAATGTCTTATATTTAGCTGATTTGCTTAGAATATCTAAACAAATAACTCGCTATTTATATGTTTCATTAACGGTAAGAGGATTTTATATAAAGCAAATGTCTACCATGTAGAATGATTGACCCAAAGTATACATCGACAGGGTGTTCATTCAATCAAATAGCCGAGGAATACTCTAGTTGACGAGTATAGCTGTCATGAGAAGAAAGATAAGTCAGAGTAACATGAATGAAGTGGAACACTACAACAACTAAACAAAAGTTTAAGTCAAATCATAACACTTTCTTTTTATAGTACTGTATACATGATCACTTTTCTTATGAGATGAGGAACAGCTTTTAGGCGTTGTTTTACATGGTCTCATTTCGGCTTATTCACTCGTAGAGTTACAAGCTCTAGTGTCTATCATAATTTATATCGACAAAATAATCTTTATATGCCATCAACTCACCTGTTTACAACCACTGTTTTTACAGGTCGTACCAACTGGATAACTCCCTGATAAAAGAGGAAATAAAGATTACGGTACACTTAGAGTATAATGCACTGTGTATCAGACACCTCTGAAAGAATGAATGGGCAAATTTACAATGAGCGAAAATTTCTTTACTAAATAGAAGACATAATCAATGCACAACTTTTAATGGGAGTGCATCACCACAAGTTGATGTACTTTACACCAACATACAAGGAACAAACAGATACCGAAAGACTAATACCAAAGTTGACAAAGTTATGTGAGAGACAGAGGAATCAGGCTGACGAATATAGTATCCAAAATTCTAGGTTCTATAATTCTTCAACTCCTGAGTGCAGCTCGGAAAAAGGCAAGCCTGAGAAAACCAGTCAGGCTTTAGACCCAGTCGTGGCTACATCGACCAAATATTCACACTACACCACCTCCTGGAACACACACACACACACTTGCTGACATCAAAAAATAGCTATATTTCTCAATCTGGAAGCGGCAGCATTCCACTCCATTGATCGAGAAGTCTTATGGCAATGCCTCTCACTGGGAGGCGTGTCGAATAAGTACATCACCTTATTGAAGGCAAGACTCTCTACTGAAACACTTGTGGGCGTGTTACAGTCTATAGTGAGATATCCGACGAGCTGTACTCGTCATGTCGTGCCCGTCAAGACTGCTCACTCTCCAATCTTATTCAATTTTATCATAGATATTCTTATGGAGGTCTCCTTCTAGTCACCTCACTACACAGAGGTTGACCTTATCAGTGGAGAATTTTCGTTCCACCTAGAATCCGTAGATGATATAGTCCTGTTAGGTGAAGACGCTGACAAAATGCAGTGTTTTAGACACTTTGAGTGGCATTTTGAGAATACTTGGGATGTGTTTCTCACCACCGAAATGCAAATTATTGCTCCACGTCTGGTCTTGAATGGTGCCCCACTGCGGCTAACAATAGAGAGTGTAGTGTTTAAGCGCGTCGACCACTTCACTTACCTAGGAAGTAGTATCAGCCCTGATGGCTCATTGGCCAGTGAAATCTCTGCACGAATACAAAAGGCTCGGTTGGCTTTCGCCGATTTACACCACCTGTGGCGTCACCGTAATATCCGATTATCTATTAAGGGTGGCGTGTACTGCACACCAGTCCGCTCCATTCTACTCTATGGTTGTGAAACATGCCCATTGAAGGTGGGAGTCATGAGAGGGCTGGCTGGCTGGCTTCAAGTGTTTGACCACTGTTGCCTTCGTAGTATAGACCGTATTCCGTGGTGTCACCATTTGAGTAACGTAGAAGTCAGGCTCAGGTGTAGAGTTTTAGGGAGAAGAGGTAAATCAGTTGACATGGTTGTGAACGTTCATCGACTGAGATGGTTGGGACACGTACTACGTATGCCTAGTCATCGGTTGCCTCATCACACAATGTTGTCTGAAGTAGGTTGAGGTTGGAAAAAGGCTCGAGGTGGCCCGACTAAAACATGAAATCAATGTATGAAATCTGTGAGTGTTGGTTTAAACCATGTAGGAGGAGGGTCGATGGAGACTGGGTGGTTGGGGTCTGAGGGACAAGAGGAACCAGTAGTTGGAGAGTCTAGGTGATCACATGTCTGAGAATCGATGTCAGTGGTGCAGATGTATACACACATTATCCTCATCTTAACGACGCTATGCTGAACCTCACCATTTTCTCATTCTTCCTTTCTCTCTTTTAGTACTTTGTATTTCTTTTGACTGAATTTCCTTATCTTCATTTTTAACCTCACTTCCTTTCTACTTGACGTAGGGATATAGGGTGTGGCATCTTGGACCGTTGTGCAGTAATGTCTGGTCCTATGTTGATATTGATGATGATGGCCTTCGTGGACCTCAATCAATTTGCATATAAAAGCAGAAGAAGCACTCTGGATGCCACCACTGTTTTATGTCACAATATTGCTTGTAATCTTGAAAAACGTGCCAGGTATGCTAGGCGTGCTTTTGTAGACTGTTTTTCAGAGACTTGATTCTCTCCAAGAAATTTTTTTCTGGACAAGCTTGCTAGACGAGACTCATACTGAGTCGTCGATAATTAGTCGGTTGAAGTGTTCCTCGAAGTGCGTCATCCGTTTTTCCAGTCGTCTCTCCTTCAAGTGATCTGCAAACACACCCTTCTCCGTTATTGCCCCACCAATCATTGTCCTCTCAATAAGTCTAAGTAATCGTCTGCTGTTACCTATCACCGCCGACTCTTCGATCTATTCAGCCTTCGCTACCAGCCACTGTTCACAGTCATTGAGAAAATCCTCATTGTGTTTGGAGCTGTAGAAACGCATTTGTATGGATACATGCATTAATTCAGAAGAAGCTGTTGACTTCCACTGACATTTTTTAACCTTCCTCTGAAAGTCACTTATGGTCTTCAATGCTGTTTCGACAACAGACTTGAGATGGTGTCAGATTTCTTCTCGATAAGTGACAATGCCATTTTATGATAACCGTGTCCTTTTGTTTCTTGCTGAAAGCAGTTATAGTATTCTCATTACCCAGCTGCTCTTTCAACATTCTTGTTACTGTGGTTTTTCTATGTCTGTTTAGATGCATACATACGCGTGCTTGAACCAACGTGTCATTCCCATCTTCTAAACATGTGTTTCAGAAGTGGCAATCTTCCACTGACCCTCTCCAGTGATAACTGATACCAATATGGTATAACTGTGTCCACCGCTGAGTTGAGGCTGGGGGATAACAAGTCGTCAGACAATGTCTCCTCTTTATGTCTTAAGTTCGAGGTAGTCAGAAATAACTGGTTGTCTGAGCAACATAGTGACAGGTGATAACTATTATATTTTCTTTCGGCTGGAATTTCGAAAGTGCCACTTAAATGCCGTTCTACCTGACTTAGCCTGCTTACTTGTGCATTGAAATTCCCTGTAGTCAGTGGGTGCGTAAGTAGAGATTAGTCCTTACTGTGCCATTTAGTCGAACAACGCGTAGGTGACTGTCAACTGGGATTCAATCAATTAGTGCAATTTGCGCCTTAGGACTCAATGTTTTACCTACGCCTGTAAGGCTGCGAGAACTAGCCATCGAATCTCCAGAAATTCGAAGACTGAAGCTTTCAGGTTAACCATAGTGAGGTTAAGTGAATGACCACACTTGGGTTTTGTACACGTGTCTCATAAACACAGCGGACATGCATGAATCGAGATGTCAGAGTTTAGGCTAGTGAAGCTTGGTGGGCGATTTGACGGAGGGTGCGTACATTGAAAGCTCGAATGTGTAATTTTAAGCGCGGTTTCAGGGAACCGGATATTCTACTCGGTGAACTCGAGTCGTTATCAAGAGCCGCAAACCTTGGAGAAACCAAAGATGATGTATGAATATCAACGGGGACGTGAGGAGGTTGAGACTGATCTGAAGAAAGGTGAATGATGACAAAGGCATGAAGGAGGTTGACACTTCCTGACTGTATACACTGCGGAAAGTATTTACTTTTCAGGTAACTTTGAAGGGAATCGGATTAGTAATAATGGTGCGTGATTTGAAGTCAGTTACACACGGTCTTTTTGTAAGCTTTAAATTAACTTCGGTTTATTTGCATTCGCCTGGAAAACTCATACAGCCAGTACCGGAAAACCGCAAGGGAAGAGGGAGTATGCAATTTTTAGAGCCGACCTTTTCTACCCCTCCCCTTCTCATAGGGAAGGTAGCATCCATATGGCATTGCTGGTCATGTAGGGGGAACACCTCCCTGCTGTCACATACTCAACCAGGCAGCAGTACGAATACACCCTCGAACCTCTATCTTGAGACTTTACACAACAAAGGTAACTGGTTTCTGCTCCATCACTATCCAACAAAGCTTTCTGGCATGGTAGGACTTTAAGTGAAGAGGTGTTCCTACAGTAAAGCTCGTTGGATCATTATGATATGCAAGTCTGACCCCCACATAGGGTATAAAAAAAAGGCGAAAATAAGTATATTAGCTTACCTTTGTTATTGTTTTCAGTTGAGGAGTTCTGTAAAGGTTTAAAGGATGGATCTAATGATAACTTTTCTAATGCTGCTTTCAAATTCGATGTGATTTCAACCGGCAAATCATATGTGGTCTCTGTGCAAGATGGTCTTGGCAATTCGACTGGTTTGGGAACTGTAAGTGCAGGTGGAGCAACCGGCTGAAATGAAGGGAAGAAATTCATATATTGCAGCATCTTTATAAGTATTTATTGTCCACTTTTATAAGAGAAATATTGAATTTTTAATTCTCATGGCAATTAAGAGATATAGGTAGTCTTGAAAGTCGGAAAAGCAAGACAGGACTTCCTGCATTAACCTGAAATAATCCGTGTGGAGATCTACTGCACTGCATTCAGCATAAAGTGTGAACAACATCTTGATTTTCAACACTAATTCAGTCAAGTCAGTCAGTGCTTCTAAGTGATGGCGCCTTACGATAAGCATTTCCAACAAACTACAGACATACGTTGTCAACTGCTGTCGCCTACGCTCACTCGATACTGAAGATGGAGATCAGATGGCGAGAATAATAAGAATAAGCAACAAGGAACTTTGGCTGGCTGGCTGTCTGGCAACGAACCAACCAACAACCTGTCGACCAACAAATATGGAGATGGATTGTGCATATACTGAGAAGAAGGTTTGGGGACATCGCGCGTCATCATCATTATCAACATAGGACCAGGCATTACTGCGTAACGGTCCGAGTAGCCAGCCAGCCAGCCCTCTCATGACTTCCACCTTCAATGGGCATGTTTCACAGCCATAGAGTAGAATGGAGCGGACTGGTGTGCAGTACACGTTACCCTTAATAGACAATCAGAAACTTAATAGAATGAGTGGACAAAAATTTGTGTCAAGTTGAATCATATTGATTATCTCACGTTTCATTTTCTTAACATTCAAATCATATCGTTAACTCTGATAATAAATGCAACATGTACACTAGGTGATTATAAGCCGCATGTTAAGCAGGGATAAGAGTTATACCGCCCAGCTCCTCAAACTTTGGTGGGTGGATGGAATGGGAATTAACTGCTTAGAACAATAAGGCATAATTCCGCTAGATTACAGATATCTCTTATGAAGTAATATGTTTGAACCCATGCTTTTAGTCACTTAACTTCCAACTTTATCACATTTCCTTACCAAAACCTTATTAGTATGTTTTCTCGCAAGGTTGCCACGGCCAGTGACGATTAGTAGTTAGTCTTAGTTAGTATCCAGCCAGTTCTCTGATAGAAAATACTTTGTAGCAAGAAAATTCCATAGACTGGTGTGGCAGTTAAGAAATCAATAAATCTGAATACGTTACTCTTGAAGGTTCTAAGACGATGCAGTGAAGTGGAATGCATTATATAACAGCTTAGCCACAGATAAATATACAGAACATCAACAGCCCAATATAGACGAGTTGTATATAATCTAATGTGCTGATATTAACAGCTTTTATATGAGTACCCGGGCACAATCGATACTTCTCAACGTGTGACGGTAATAACGTGGATACAGTGTCTATCTCTTAGTAGGGACCAAATAAATGACCTAGTAACAGTCTATGCTTTGTTATATTTTTATGCTTTGACCGAAATACAGTCAGTATGTAAACGACCATCACTATCCTTTGTAGTATGGTCTACATTTGCTGAAATTATCAGAATAGTGGTAATGGAATTATTTATAGTGATAGATGAGGAATTTCAGTGGGATTTTGAATAGGTAACTTTTCATGATAAGATAGCTAGTTCCACCTCCTGTATTTACTAGTGACTAAAATTGTAGAAAACCTCGCCTGGTTAACTAGTTCACTAGTTACTGGCTGGTCCTAAGCCCGGGTAAAGAGGGAAGGTTGGACATATGGCTAGCAACCCTACCCCGTAAAACAAATCCAACCGCTAAAGAAAATTCAAAGCAAAATAAAAACAAAATTATCCCTCGCTGGAATCGGAGAGGCGAAATGACGCCAGTTGGTGAAAGCCTTCGGGAAGCCAACTGGCCGATGTGTCTTCTCTACCTCGATGAAAGCGAAAGTAAACATGGAGACATGGAATGTCCGCACTATGTTTGAACCCATCAAGGCAGCCCAGATTGCAAAAGAGATGAGAAGGTATCGCACTGAAGTGCTAGGAATTTGCGAAAGCAGATGGAATGGGAGTGGACTATCCAAACTGTCAACTGCAGAATCAATAATCTACTCCGATATTCTCACCCAGACGACAACCAACCGCACACTGAGTTTTCGAGTGGAATGGCTATCATGATGTCCCCAACAGCATCGAAGGCTGTCTCTCATGCAGTGGGAACCAATCTCCTCCAGCATCAAAATCATGACAGCAAGGTTCAACTCAAAAGGAAGGAAAGTCACAATCGTACAATGCTACGTTATGCACCTACAAATAATGCAGAGCAAGAGAAGAAAGTGGAATTATACAGATAACTAGAATCAGTACTAGACAAGACCTCAGTTGGTGATATCAAAATTCTAATAGGCGACATGAATGCCAAACTGGGAGGGGACAAAACAGGAAGAGAACTAACCATGGGTCGAGAAGCACTGGGTGAGGTGATGAACGAGAATGGAGAAATGTTTGCAGAATTCTGTGTATTCAACGATTTGGTGATTGCAGTGACGCACTGTGTTCAAGCACAAGGATATCCACAAAGCGACATGGATTTCACCAGACACCAGGACACACTAAAAACCAGATTGACTTTATTTGAATGTGAAGAAAGTGGAGACGCAGCTTACTTGACACAAGGTCAAGAAGAGGAGCAGATGTAGGCTCAGACCACCATCTAGTGCAAGGAACCTTCCAAATCAAATTGAAAGCCTTCAAAGAAGTTGGTGATAGAGCACAGTTCAAGTTAAACACCCAGAACACAAATTGAAGGACGAAACTACCAGGGACATCTTCACGCCAGCCATCAAGACAAAATGGGAGATATCGAGGAACATCCCCAAAGAAACCTGTGTGGAAGAACACTGGAAGTCTTTGAAAGAGATGTGGAAGGAAACCTGCATAACCATGTTAGGAAGAAAGAAGATAAGGAATGGATTCTGATGGACACATGGAAGCTGATACAGCAGGCAGAGGAGGATGGTGAAGCAGAAGATAAACCAGTGCAAGGATGCACAACGAAAAGAGGAACTGAATACAATGTACAAAAGTGTATAAGAGTGCATGGAAAGACAAAAGACACTTCCATGACACACTTGCAAGTGAAGCAGAACAGGCTGCAGGTAGGAGAGATACAGACCTGACAACATTGTATCAAATAACCAGGTTACTATCTGGCAGGAAACAGATCAACACAGATGAAACCAATAAAAGATGATGAAGGAGATCTAATCACCAAAGAAGAGAAACAAAGGAAACAATGGGCTGACCACTTCAAAAAACTCTTGAATCGACCACCACCTGCACTTCGTCCAGAGATACCACCTGCAGCCACAGAACTACAAGTGAACACAAGCCCTACGACGAAAGTTGAAGTCCTAAACGCCAAAAAGCTACTGAGGTGCGGGAAAGCAGTAGGACCAGATGGAATCCCGCCAGAAGCACTGAAAACAGACTCAGAGACAACAGCGGACATGCTCACACCACACCACTATTACAGAAGGTCTGGAAGAAAGGGAAGGTACCTGCCAACTGATTGGAAGAAGGGCTACCTTGTCAAACTCCCGAAGAAGGGAGACCTGCGTTTGCAAGAACTGGCGCGGAATCACTCTCCTGTCCACCCAGAGCAAGCAAAATATTAAGCCGCATCATCCTGGAGAGATTAAAGGATGTACTGGATTCGAAACTACGACCGGAACAAGCTGGTTAGCTGGCTTCAGGAAGTACAAATCATGTGCAGACCAAATTGCAACGCTTCAAATCATCATAGAACAGAGTATAGAATGGCGGTCGACTCTACACCTCAACTTCATCGACTTTGAGAAGGCCTTCAACAGCGTCGACCGAGAGGTAATTTGGAAGCTGCTTCAATACTACGGAATACCGCAAACCTTTATCAGCCTCATTCAACAACTATATGAAGATGCCACATACCAGCCAAGTAATTCACAGTAGAAAGCTCAGTGATGCTTTTGAAGTGAAGACAGGAGTGAAACAAGGTTGTCTACTATCCCCCATGATATTCCTGATTGTAGTGGACTAGATTATGAGGCAAGCCGTGAGGAGCGAGAAGATGGGCATACGCTGGACTGTGGAAAAGATCCTAGAAGATTTGGAATTCGCCAGTGATGACTTATGTCTAATGTCACACAAACTTGAAGATCTACAGGCAAAAACTAACAAGTTGACAGAAGAGGCAGGGCAGCGAAGACGGAACTTCAAGTGAATATAGAGAAGACAGAAGTGATGAAGATGCCGCACCAACAACTCCAACAAACTCCAATCACCATCAATGGGAGAAACTTGAAGGAAGTAGTCTCTTTCACCCACCTTCCTAGGCAGCACTGTTTCAACTACAGGCGACAGCACAGACGAGGACGTCAAAGCCAACCAGGATCGGAAAAGCAAGACAGACGTTCATTAGCCTGAAACCAGTGTGGAGATCTTCTGCACTCAACATAAAGCGTGAACAGCATCTGGATTTTCAACACCAACGTCAGTCAAGTCAGTGCTTCGATATGGTTCAGAGACTTGGCGCGTAACGAAAGGTATTTCCAACAAATTACAGACATTCATCAACAACTGCCACCTACGCTGGCTCGTTACTGAAGATCAGATGGCCAGAAATAATAAGCAACAAGGAACTGTGGCGCCGCAATTCGTTCTGTCCTGTTGTATGGCTGTGGGATATGGTAGTTAAAAGTAGAAGGCATGAAGTGATTACGCGGTTTTGATCACAGATGTTTTCGTTGCATTGCTCGCGTTTGGTGGAATCACCGTGAGAACAATGTTGAAGTCAAGTCAAGCGTACCAAGCAAATTGGTTATTGAAGAGGTTGTACACCTTTATCATCTGAGGTGGCTTGGACATGTACCGCGCATGCTGAGCCACTGTCCACCTCAATGTGTAGTGGGAGGTGCATTAGGTTGGTAGAGGGTTCAAGGGGGCCAGACCAAGACCTGGTACCAGTCCATGAAGTTTCTCACTGTGTCAGATGTAAAGTAGCTGGTTGGCGTCCTTAAGACGAAAGAAATTAGTGATTGAGGACTTTTGATGGCATGGCTGACAATTGGTTGCAATGGCATAGGTGTATTTACCTTATGACATCTGCTATTCGCACTAACCCTTATCTTCCAACTGCTCATTCTCTCACACAACTTTGTTTACTTTGATATGACTCTTATTCTGTTCACCTGTCTTTTTGTACTACTGCGAAATGTAGCAATTTCAGCTGATGGACCTGTGTGCAAGGTTCTACGTTGATTCTGTCTGTCTATCTATCTATTATTAAAACATTTTATCAACCCTGAAGCGTAAAAATCGCCAAACTCACTGAAATGTCTGTAGTTAATAAACCTTCCTTTTGCAAAGCAATTCTAGCATATATTTTTTTGTCAGTGAGAACAAAAAAAAGTGTATTTTGTGATTAAAATATATACATTACATAGGTTACAATTTTAAGCACAAATTAACGAATAAAAAAATAAAAGTGAAAAGTATCAACACTGTTACTGCTAACCACTGTGATGCCTGAAGACTTCTGCGTTTTCAATGATTTTACAACTTACTCAGAGGGCAGAAAACGTGAGGAATATGGTCAAACTATGGACAACCTAATGACAACATTACATTATATTACTGCTGTTGTTGTATATCTTGAACATTAACAATGATACAATTGTACTCAGCTGCAGTGAGCTAACCTATTAAATAACTGACTAATGTGTAATTTACTTCGATCACCTTTCACAGTGTAACTGGTTGACTGCCTACTTAGATATGGTTTTAAATTTGGCAAGCTTATCCTTTTTCAAAACAACCCTTAACTAAACAGCAAATGTGTTGGATACTAAAGAAAACACATTTTAGTATGACATATATGAATGCAAATGTACTTCATAATTTTTAAGTCTTTTATAACCTTTTAATTTGTGACTGAGAATACCGAGCAAGTGGAAAAACTGTTTTTAAAAGGGTGTTCGATATTATATTTCAATAAATTTCGATGCTTGATAAGTAATCATACAGATCAATATCTGAACAATAAGGCACAAGTTGGAGTGTTGTTCAAACTATTATAGAAGGAATGAAGAGGAAAAAAACATGAAGAATCACAAATATTTACTGAAAGATCGTAAGATTTACTTTGCAAAACCGAAAGGTTTGAAATATTTTTCTTCCTTCTGAAGTAACATCTATGCTTATGTTAAGAGATATTTTCCCATGAAGGTACAGACAGAGAGACAAGATCAACATAGGGCCTGAAATCATTGCGTAAGGGTCTAAGTCATCGCACCTCGTATCAGCCCATCAAGCGAGAAAGCACTCAAGGTGGTAGAGAGATGTAGTAAGATAAAAAGGAGGGATAAGAAAATACTGAATTCAATATGACGAGTAAGACGAGGACAATGTGTGAATATATCTGCACCACTGGTTTCTATTATCATGCGAACACTAAGCTGGAAGTTTACATTAGCCTACATGGTTGAGGCTAACGTTAAGAGACTTCATGCAATGGTGCCATGCTTTAGTTTGATTGCCTCTAACCTTTGTCCAGCCAAAACTTACTTCAGTTAACATTATGAGATGAGACAGACGGTGACTAGACGTGTATAACATATTTCGTACGCACCGAAGTTGATGAAGCGTCATCAACTGACTTTCCTAAAATTTTACACCTGACTTCTACATTACTGACGTGGTGACACCAAGACACATGGCCTATGCTTCGAAGGCGAAGGTGGTCAAATACCTGAAGCCTTCTCCATCTCTGCCTTTAATGTCTGTTTTACCTAGTAGAACAGATCGAACTACAGAGCTGTATACTCGATCCTGAATAGACAATCGGATATTACGGAGGGACCATAAGTTGCCAGAGGCTAAATGAGCCTTTTGTATCCATGCAGAGATTTCATCGACCACTGGCCCACCAGAGGTGTTCCAGCTTCTCAGGCAAGTGAAGTGGGCAATGTGTTCAACTATTTCATTCCTTATTGGTAAACAAGGCACCAATGAAGACCAGCCCTGGAGCAACAATTTGCATTTGGTTGGCGTGAGGCGCATCCCAAACGCTCTTAAATTGCCACTCAGGATGTCCAGAAGATTCTGCACTTTGTTAGAGTCTTCACGTAACAGGACTATGTCATCTGTGTATTCCAGATCTACTAAGGATAAGATTGATCCCGGTAGAATCAAACGATGGGAAAATTGAACAAGAATGGACAGACAGAGTACTCTTGATGGACACAAATCGATGTTCAAGTAAAGAACCTTCAACAGAAGGATGCACTTACTTAGCACGTCTTTCAGATCGAGAAATACAGCAGACGTCGGGTGTCGGTGTTCCAGGAAGCGGCTGGTCTATACACCCACAACCACGTCTAAAACCTGCATGGTTTTCTCGGGTTTGTTGTTCTCAAGCTCTATTTAGACTTTTAATGATAAGGGGACCTAGAATTCCATGCAAGTGATTTAAAATTAAGGTTGGGTCTCGTGAACTACTGCGAGCGACTGACACTTCTCGGGTGCTCACACCTTGGAAGGCTATTTCTTCTTAAGGCATCTGGAAGAGAAAAAGGTTTGTGTGACCGCAGAGTCCATGGGACATTCGTTTGAGGCCTATCAAACAGCTTTTTGCGGATTGTTATTTTGAGATTTGGTTGTTCTAACACCGGATACAGAAAAACAATACCACCGGGGACGGAATACGATGGGGCAGAGAGGAGTGTGCTATTTTTAGGGATGGTCTTTTCTACCCCACCCCTTTAGCTTCCCATAGGGAAGGCAGCGTCAGCGCAGCGCTGCTAGTCATCCAAGGGAAGCATTTTACTGTTTTCACGACCCAGCCAGCCAGTAGTAGGACTTCCCCCCCGCAGACCCCCATCATAGTGCAGCAATTTACACTAGAACGGTAACTGTTTTTCATGCGGACACTATCTAACAGACCTTTCTGGTACGGCGGGACCTCAAGGGGACAAGAGTTCCAGCCATTGTAGCTCGTTGGGTTATTGTGATATGCAAGCCCGTTGTTCGGGGCACACTACAATTAAACATAAACATGTGTACCAACACTTTTATGTCTATCTGATATACATCCATCTTCAACCAGATGAAATGTAATTCTTGTGGGCCAGCTAGATAGCTTTAACTAGGATACGTTGCCATATGTTTCATTTGTAGGTTATTAATGCGTTGACACAATCGTCGACGAGTGAAAAGATGTCTAGTCTATATTAACTGATTTCTACGTAGATTTTGTGGAAAACATTCTTGTGCAAATGAAAAACACTCAACTATTAAGTCATAACCTTTTTCTAGACAGTGATAAAAACAACTAACATGGTTCGTATATATCCTACTTATATTAGAAACGTTTGAGAAACTGTAACTCATAAAAAACTTCGAGATCCCCATTTTTCAATGCTTCGCTATGATTAGCTGAAAAAACAAAAACGCATGTCTGACTCACACTAGAGTTAATATAGCAACCAAGAGATTACTGGGCTGTATCATCCAAACGTTACATGTTGAACGTTGAGAACAAACAAATAGCTCTGGAGTCCAAGAATACATTTTTGACTAGGTGCAGAGTACTGGAAAAGGAAGGCAAATCAGTCGATGAGGTTGCAAACCTTCACCGATTATGATGGTTTGGACATGTACTGCACGTGATAAGCCACCAACCACCAACAGAAGTCGAATAATTCTGCCCTGTATACCAACGGGAAAGCAAAAGTATCATAACAACAATTGATGCTCGTTACATAAGAAGTGGCTATTGTGACCCAGTGGCTTGATGAATAACGCTCTGGCGTTTGGAGTGATGCATACTGGGTTCGAGTCCCAGTGAGAAACAACCAACCTCGTCCTTACTTTCAACAGTTCAGTAGGACAGTGGACTACAAATCAGCAGACTTGTATCTTGTAGTGGGATGTCTCACGGGCGTCTAAGGTAGCGTGTTAAAGACAATCAGCATTTGTTTTGTACTCAGGCTATTATTTCATCATCAAACAACCTAACAAGGCAGAGATAACTTCTGACGCACCGTCACTCAGCTCTCGAATAATGGGTATTACAGGAAACCCTCAGTGGAGTTTTAACACTGAGACTGAGTGAAGGGACATTGGTCAGATTTAGAAAAAGGCATAGTCACAAAGAAGGAGAAAATTACTCGAGACGTGGAACATAATTCGTTGGGTGAACAGAGCATCAGAACTTTAGATGACTCGGAAAAAAAGCGAATAACACCAAGGATGTTAGCGATCACGGAACAAAAAAGGAAGCCGTTGCAAATCTATTTTGTGCTTAGCAATTATACACAGGCTATATTGTATAGTTCACTCCCCCTATTCTCACCGTGTGGCATATATACAACCAACTATCGACTTACATTAGTTGGAACTTCAGTTTTTTTCTGCTCTTTTGGGTTTTCTGGGCGTATATTACTGTGCTTTCCTACAGTACATCCTTTTATACTCAAGAATTCCGAGAAATCTGTACTGTATTTATTGCAACAAGACCACTTTTTCTTCGCATCATGGAAAATTGGCTCACCAGGGTGAAATCGACATGAATCTGTAGGTGTTGATGACAACCACTGGAAGTGTTACCTTCCTTATTTTCTTCAGGACTAAATTTCTGAGCACATCCCTTATTGTAACACAATAGTAGCTCTGACATCGTGATTCACTGAAGGTCAAGATACACTTTTGATTAGCGCGGGTAGGAAGTCTGGCAAATCGTTCAAATGGTTGTTAACGCAAAAGAAACTTTCACGTAACTGACTTCTGCGTCTAAAATCCATTGGCCACTAATTCTCCTGGTTGTTAAGCCGTCTCAAATGGTTCCAAAATGCAGCACCTCTTTACTAGCTTACGTAAACCAGCTGATTTCTCTACGCTCGCTTTTAGGTCATGAGGAACGGATCCAGGTCTTTATTAGATTCCGATACAATAGGTCTACCCACTCACCTGCTGTAGCTCTGGTTAGCCCAACGAGCTGCTAGGTGTTGACTGAATTGTAGGGGTCGTATGATTTTTCCAATGACTGCGGTTCTGATGGGCTTTTCAAGCGTCACAGGACACTTGGTCGGACCGGTCATGAAGGATGTCCAGAAAAAACCGAGGGGGAGGGAGTGCGAAAAAGAAAAGAAAAACAAGGTGAAAGGGAGTGGAAGAGGGGGAGAAACCTCGGTAGGTTCACGGGTGATAGTTGATACGGAGACGCTTAATAGACAGTGTGAGATCATAGAGGTAGAGGGAAGGGGTGGAGGAAGTAAGATTATAGGATGGACTATGGGGATACATATAGCAACACCGTTGGTAGGGGATTATGACTGGGAGAGACTTCCACAGGGAAACATAAGGCTGAGTCAAGTTCGCGATGATGGTGGTGGTATAAAAGATTCAGTATAGTGTTAACTGTGCCGGATTGTGCGGAGTTGGTAGGTTTTGTCAGCTTGGCCGGTATCCCGGCCAGATAGGCGCAAACCCTTGGTTGCTATGTAGCTGTCCAACCTCTTCCTGAAGCGTTCAGCAGTCGGAACGGCAGAAATCTGGGCAGGCAATGCTTTCGGGTGGCCCCAACCTCTCACAGGGGGTGTGAACGAACACAGGTTTTCTCCCTGTGGTGAGCCATTCTCCTTGGATTATGACGAGGAATACGGTAGTGGCCGTTCAGTAGGATTCCACCATGTGGAAGGCTTGAATCGCTTGACATTTTGCTGGCCGTCATCAGGCCACCACTTAAGCTGCGGTGACTGTGAGAGTAAGGCCCTGATCTTTCAGGCTATCTTCATAGGGTTTTTACCTCACTCCCACAACATCATTTGTTGCTGATACCTGGACTTTCTGCTGGTGTGGTGGTGCAGGGACTCTGTGGACCTCTAAGTGAGGCGGCATTTAGGCCTTGTACAGCTTCAGCTCAGTTCTGGAGTGAGGGCATCTATCTGTCCGCCCATGAAGCGAGGCGCTGGGTGGGCCCTGAAGGCATCTCTTGCATGATTTGAGTTGGCCTACCTCGTCAGTCAGTACTAGTCCCGGGTCCCTCTCTGTGGTGGTATGGAAAAGTTACGTCCCTAAGGCAGGGAAGGACACTTTCTGGGAGTCAGGGGCACGGAGAAATGTGGTCTAGCACTCATACGGACTGAATGTTGGCATGTTATTATTCATCCACTCTGCAAGCAGCCTGAGATCACTTCGTAGAGTACTTGATTCTGCTTCGGATGCCACGGCTCTTCGCAACTTAACATCGTGAGCGTAAAGTAGAATCAGGGAGCTGAGACTCAATGGGAGGTCATTCAAGCACGATTAGGATAGCAGCGGACCCACAACTGCTCCTTCTAACACAGTGGATGATGATGTCCTCCAAGTCAAGCAAACCCTGCCGAATTTCGCGCCGACCTCACTCCCGTCTAAGTAGTCCTGTGGCCAGGAGAAAGCTTGATCATTGAAACTTAACCCTGACTGCTGGTAGAATAGAAGAAGCTTTCGCTTACCTCAATTCCGCGTCTAGAATCCACACTTCTTACACTTGCTAATCTGTGTAAAATTGAAGAGAGCAGTAAGTATGGTTTAAAATTAGAAAATTCGATTGGTTCTGACCAGATCTCACCCGCGTCCCGGGTAAGTTTCAAGCCACCGTTTGGAGGATTCAGACGAAGTGGTCTGGGTCATTTCAAGAAGAACATTCTGGGGTTTACCAACTCTTAGGGAACAGAGGTTGTATCTGGTATTCAACCCTGTATGTTCTAGGCTAAGTGTCTGCGTGCATCCTCTTCGAGTGGGGCCACAACTCAGATTCAGGAAGTTACCGAGTAGGTGACAAGTGGTATTGAGTTTCCTCTTAGCCTTCTATATTCTAGAGGATATGGATCAGGCGCAACCAACAATTCTTTTTATTTCAAGTTGTTATTCATCGAAGACTGACATCAGTTGGAGGAACAAAGGAAACCTGGGAGCACTGGACAGCTGTTTCGTCCTAGTATGGGACTCCTCAGCAGTGCGCACCCACGGCCCCACCAGCACGGATCGAACCCGCTTCGAGAAGTATTCCCGAAGTTCCAATAACAAGTCGTGACCGGTGGAGTCAAAGCCTGATGGCCGTGAGGACAAATACTCAACGATGACATTGGGTGGAGGTTTGCGCTATATCGTGAGCTAACAGAAGTTGGAAATATGGAGCATTGGATTTTGACCCAGTGGCTCAATGGTAACGTGCTTGCCGCGGAACCTGAAGGTCGCGGGTTCGATCCGTGCTGGTGGGGTCGTGGGTGCGCACTGCTCAGGAGTCCCATACTAGGACGAAACAGCTGTCCAGTGCTCCCAGGCTTCCTTTGTTCCTCCAACTGATGTCAGTCTTCGATGAATAACAACTTGAAATATTTCTAAATCTCCACAACCCCCTCAAAAAATTTAATTCTTTTTATGTTTTAGACCGGAGTCTTCATAGAAATTTTGTTGAGCTCCTCCGGGGGGCATTCCAAGCCTGACTTATCCTTCTGTATAAAAGAGGGAAAACTGTTCCGCAGATCTTCATGTAAAGCCATATGAAGCTGTTGAAAATCTGGCGAAAACGCCAACAATCGAACCATCCGAAAATCCGCTTAAAGGTTACAAACACCAAGTTTCCATGAAACGCGTGTCTGCCACGGTTGGCACAGGGTTGTAAGTCTTGAGGAATCAAAACACCCACGTCCTTCTCTGGCAGGAACACTTGAAACTCCATGTCGTTGAGGTCACATGCAAGACATACATCATGCTGTACCAATATGACCTTGCACTTTCCAAAATTAACTGCAAGCCCATTATTAACTGCTAAGTCTTGTGGTTAGGTGAAGTCTTCCTCACTTTTGACTTCTCTCCATAGTTTCAAATCAGCGGTAAAAAGAAAGATTTCATAGGAATCATTTTGAGGCAAGTCGCTTACATTTACTTGAAAAAGAGGCTCTAGCTTTCCGGGTAACTCCACTAGATCACTCTTTTTCGTCAAACACATAGAAACTCGCTGGAGTTGTACAAAAATGACCTCGCAGGCACAGGGAAAACCGGTCAGTGAGCGACGGCCTGTTCGCAATTCATTGTCATCTGTCAACAAGGCAGCCGTGATTAGCACAACCAAACGCCTTAACAGGGTCTGGATAACTGACACCAATCTGGTCTAGATGGTCGACACCACCGGCCTATCCGTCTGCTGCAGCGAGCAAATTATTGATACGGGAATACCATTCTCTGACTCTGCGTTGTGGACAAGTTAATCTTTATGAATTGATACCTCAGTCTAACACAGGTCAAAGATTTTATTGCTTTGAAAGGCGTAGATGCGGGCATCACGGTCCGCATTTCATTGAGTCCCTTCTTCAGCCTCCTTCGGAGAGTGGCGTTATATCGCCCAACGTCAAAGGGCCGAACACCCTTACTTGACTTAAAGAATCCTTCAATAACCTACTTGGGCGTCCAGCCAAGACTGATACTTCTTCTCGCAGCACCGTTGCATAGATTTTGCTTAGTACGGGAGAGGCGTCTTTTGTGAACAGTGACGGTTTGCTCTGGAAGCCTTAGTCAACGACTGAGAGTCCCAGTTCGTTAGTGGGATATTCCTAAACTCTTGAGCAAGCGGGGGGAGACAAAAAGGACTGCAGATACTGGTTGACCAGGAGCTCAGCTGCCTTACTGTCGCTACTAGTCGGTCGATTGGGCCCCAGCAGTTGGGAGACTGCCGCGTTGGTCTGCTGGAATGATGTAACGTAGTGAAACGGACCTCTGTAAAGCTAACTTGATGTCCTTGCCAATCAGTTCTCACTACCTTCGTAGATGCGTTTCTCCTCCGTCTGAACAGTCGGCATGTGTGTTCAATACCATTTCTATTGTGTTCTGCCCTGTGACGTACTTTTTAACATGAGTAGTTTGCAAGTAGAGGTGCTGATCGCCTCAGGCGACTTGGAGAACTTCAGCTTTGAAATTGAAAAGGCTGGCTGATGGGGTGTATGGCTTTGTCAAGTGTGACTCTCCAATGGGTGTTCGCACCCTGCCACGCATGGCCAACTTCCCAATTTGTCCGTTACAGTGCCATCCAAACAGCCGGAGTGTTAGGGCGTCTGAAGTTGCAACGACGCTCTCTGGATGATCCGGTAAGATTGGTTTCGCAAACATACTGGAACCCTACCAGATTGTGATAGCTCATCCCAATCAGGATTTTTTCCTTTACGAAGATGCGGCCTAAGAGAGGACGGGTTTGGGTTTCACTTCATCGTGTCACTGTTCTCACATCTTCTGGAAGCCTTAGTTTCTTAGGTAGGTTGAAGGATCAGGCTTCATTTGAATCAGCACTCCCTAAATATATGATCTGCAAAGCTAGCATTACGGTAGGTCAAATTCCCCTGAGATCAGCATGTGTGTGGCCCGGTTTGAGAGGGAAGCAGATGGATCCAGGATTTGATCAAACTCAACGTCAGCAAGTCGCTTCCCAAAAAGTTCAATGTCTTATAATGTCGTCTGAACCGGCTGATTAGGTGCTGCAGAACCATCTCAGGTGTACTTAGACTATTAGTGTGCTTGATCAAACCAATACATCGAATCGAACGAGCGCACGGTCAGAAAACAAGGGGTTGATTTTTGTACGCTGTGACAACTCTGGCTTTCGTTGTGTAGGTCACCTCAAAAGTTGATGAATCTAAACGTAGT